CTCCACTGCCGCCTCCACCCCAACCTGTCCCTTCTCCCTCCAGGATGAAGCTTACAGACAGAATATCGATCTTGGTTTTTTGATGGTACAGATGCTCATTTAGAGATGATACAGAGGGAGGTTCTTACAGTATCATGCAGGCTGACCTTAAACTCATTTTGTACAGATTGGCCTCAAGTTCTCCACCCTCCCTCAACCTACCCACATGCTAAAGTCACAGAACGCACCGTTATATCCAGCTTAATTCCTAGTTCTTCTTTATTTTTTTAATTTCTCAGAATGCATTTTAGAACCTTTGTAGCATGGCAAAAAAAAAAAAAAAGTTTAAGGTTGGCTATAAAGAAGCAGCTTTAAGATTCCTGCTAACATTGTGGACCTCTGCAGATGGGCACACTGGTGGGGAACCATGGCTGGAGAACACTTTCAGCCTATAACATGCACAGGCAGCTCGCCTAGATTCTTGAGCTGTGCAGCCACTTAGCTGTCTAATGACAGCAGTACCCAGTGCACAAAGAAATGGGAACTTGACCAAGGAGTTCAGATGGGTCAGGTTTTAGTGTTTCCCTAAGATCACAGAAAACTGTCAGAGTCAGATCCAAGGACTCGGAGAAAATGATGGAAATGATACTTGTCTCAAGATGAAGCTGCTCTCAGATGCTGGGCATATGTAGTGAAAGACACGGTCAGCAGAGCACAGCACACCTTCTACGAACCCGGCATGCCTATGTCCAAAACGCTCTTATTGCTAGCAGTGGCGAAGTGAAGTGCAAGGGTTCTAGGTTCAGAATCTTGCATCTGTCTTTACCAACCCGGGCAAGCTATTTGTATTGCACCTAGAGCAGAGGTTCTCAACCTTCCTAACGCTTGGACCCTTTAATACAGCTTTTCACTTGTGGTGATCCCTAACCATAAAGTTATTTCATTGCTACTTAATTACTAAAATTTTGCTACTGTTATGAATCATGATGTAACTATCTGACATGTGACCCCTGTGGGACGTGACCCAGTGCTTGAGAACTGCTGATGAAGGGTGACATGTGCCAGGCAGGCAGTGCAACACCAACTTTCATTCCAAGCCTTTTTCACTTTTTTTTTACTTTGACAGGAGTCTCACTAAGTTGCCTAGGCAGGCCTTGAACTTGAGATCTTCCTGCTTCTCCCCCTTGTAGCTGAGGTTACAGACCTGAGCCACCAGTCCTGGTATCACGAAAATAAATTTTAGGGTAGGGTGGTACCTTACCAGGTAATGTGCAAGCGAATGATCTGAGTTCGAATCTCTGGTAGAACACACAAATAAAGCTAGGTGCAGTAGCATGCGTCTGTGCTCATGACATCTCTATAGTGAAGTGAGACGGGAAAATGAAAGTCTTAAGGAGCTGAGTGGCCAGCCAGCCGGGCATGCGCAACAAACAGTGAAGGAGACCCTGTCCTTAGGTAGAGGCTGAGAACGTGATTGCCAGGGTTGTCCTCTGACTTCCACACGGGTGCTGTGGCATGGACACACCTCTACTAATGCACAGGACTTTTTTTTCAAAGTTTTAAATACTCTTTAGACATAGTTATATGGAGGATATTTGTCATTCTGGCCCTGGTGACAGTGAGTCTGGCCTCACACGCACACTGTTGATGCTAATGGTATCCTGGATGAAGGCAGACTCCAGTGAAAAGCATCCTGCGAGGATGGTGAGATGAGTCATGTGGGATGGAGAAGCCATCCAGAATAGAAGAGATCTATGTAAGGGCTAGAACAAGAAGGAAGACAAGGCGGGGGAGGAGTCAGGACACAGAAGGGCATCTACAGAGCAGGCATTGATGAGAAGTAAGGCTGCCAGAGGCGGGGCCGTCAGTATCATCTCTGTCGCGTAGATGGTGAAAACGGGCTAGGGTGGGAGAGAGCCAGCCTCTGTACTAGGATGAAGAGAATCTGGAAGCCTCACTCAGGGCCATTGGCAGGAGCATTAGAAACAAGAAGAGAATTGGCCACACTCAGGATGACTTTGATTTGGGACATCAGCAGTGTCACCAGTACAGAATGTGAAAGGACTTCAAGGTGGAGAACAAGCTGACTTGAGGATAGCCATAGCAGGCTGATGGGAATATGGTTGTGAAGTTAGGGTGAAAATTCAAAACTGAGGGTATAGACCCTAGAGGTAAATAATGGCAGAGAATTAGATCTGTGTCTGGTCCTGGTGGCAGGAAACAGCTAGATTAGATCACAAAGTTAAGGGCCACCATACCTTTTTAATTGGGGGTAGGGGGAGGTCAGGTCCCCACCATGTCATCCTAGAATTTCCCAGGCAGACCTGGCTGGCCTCTAATTCAGGATCTTCCAGACTCCTGAACGTTGAGGTGACAGGCGTGTACCTCATGCCAGCCTGTAAGAACCACAGCAGTTATCCTCCGTGTGGTCAGCCCAAAGCATGGCTTCTCAGGGTCTCACTTTTCAACAAAGTACATGGTGTGCCAGGCATGTGCTGGGTACTGTGGACACCGGCACTAGTGGACTGAGGCTCCTCCTTGATGACACAGGTGGTAAAGCCATTTGCTTACTCCAGGGTCCTTAAGTCAGGTGCGGTGCAGGTGGTTCATTGTTGTTGACTTTCAGGTGATGACACAGCCAGGACAGATGGCTGTTTTCAGTCAGCTTTCTTGAAAGTTTATGTGGAGAGTAAACTTTCTGTATGTTTGGTTATTCAAAGGGCCTGAGGTAGTGTGCTTGGCTCCTTTGTAGAATTAAGAATGGGGCATGAATGAGTGAGTAAGATGAGCGTCTCTTCAGAAGTGACGGTAGTGTGGACTCACTGGTGACATCACTGTTTTCCAATGGAGTCAGTCAGAATAATTATTCCATTAACAGTTGACCCTCAAGGAGCTAAGCAAGAGTTTAAAACTAGGTCTGTTTTCTTCTCTTCACAGTGTACACCTGTTCTCCTATCCCAAGTATACCTACATTTTAGGGCTTGCTTTAGGGGTACGAAATAGCTGACTGTTATACAGAAGATATGGCCCCTTTTCAACCTTTGTTGGAATGAGGAAAGTTCTTGATCTATAATGGTGTGTATTTATGCATGGTGACCAGAAAAGCATGGCGTTGGTGGCTCCATGGTAGTAGCCAACATGACATCAACTGCTCTATATATGAACAGGAAGCACATCTGTCTGGAAGCAGGTTGGGTTCTAAGCCTTTAGCCACGCCCTAGCTATTCGGCAGTATCCACCATCTGGACCCCATGTGTAAACCTTTCCCCAGCCTCCCCAGACAGTGCCAGCAGCTGGAGCCCGAGTGCTGGCAGGGGCAGGAGGGAGCCATTTCGCATTCCAGTGTTAGCAGGTGGATAGGCAGATCTGAGTGTACGTCGTGTACCAAGCATGGCGAGAACATGCTGTAAACATGTGAAATGAAGGGGCCTTCTAAGGGGTCCAAGAACAGAGCAGGCTGAGCTTCTGCAGAGAACTCCCTCATGGTAGGTTCCTGCCTCACCAAGGCAGCTGGAAGCCCTGAGCTGTGATGGGAAATAGTACTTCCTGGGCCAGGCACTTCAGTTGCAGAACCTTTACCGCTTGCTTCTGGACAGTGTTGGCATGGATACTCAGCTCTCCATCAACACTACTGATGCCACTTCCTGCTCATGTGACATCAGGTTAGATTGTAAGGTGCTCAAAGGTCCACAGCATACAGATTCAAACTTTGTTCTAGGAACTCTCAAATTCTTGGTTGGATAATAGCTGGGCTGTTAAATGTCTGTATGGTTTTGTTCAGAGAAATGTTTTTAAGTTATTGTTTTAAGAACATGGAATTCTTGTCATGCCTTTTTAAAAAATACTTTTTATCAGGTCTTTGAGAATTTCATGCAACAAGTTTAGGTCATACCCTTTCTCCAGACTCCCGCCGCCCCAGATCCACTCCTCCCCTCAATTTTGTATCTTTTTTTTACCACCCACCAAGCCCTATTTGTGTGCCATGGATTCATGGATGTGTGGCCTTTTACTGGAGCATGGTTCACCTACCCATCAGCTGCAGCCAGCCCTCCCTCCCTCTCTCCCTTTCTCCCCCCTTCTCTTTTCTTCTCTTCCCTTCCCTTCTCTTCCCTTCTTCCCTTCCCTTCCCTTCTTCCCTTTTCCTCTCCCCTTCCCTTCCCTCCCTTCCCCTTCCCTCCCCTCCCCTCCCTTCCTTTCTTCCCTTACCTTCCCCTTCCCTTCTCCCCTTCCACTGTCCCTGTCCCTGTCCCAGTCCCCGTCCTGCCCATCCCCATCCCCATCCCCTTCCCCTTCCTCTTTCTGTCTTCTGACAAGGATTCTGTCTGTAGCCCTTGCTATCTTAGAACTCACTTTGTAGACCACGCTGGCTTCAGACTCAGAGATATGCCTGCCTCTGCCTCTGGAGTGCTGAGACTAAAGTTGTATGTATTTAGGTGGTTCAATATTAAGTTCCACTATGGCTAGGAATTAAAGATCTGATGACTTACAAACTAAACTCACACCAGTCCCTTGTCTTTCGAATCAGAACCCTGTATACTCAAAAGACGGAATCTTGAGCACTTTCATATCACTGTGAGACTTTCTGAAGTGTTTTTGTTTTTATAAACAATGATTTATAAATTAAGTTTCAGGGATGAGTAATATAATCCTATTTTAATTAAAATAAGGTTTTTTAAAAGGCAAGTTTTCTAAACGTGTAAGATGTGGCTTGAAAATCTTTATGGAGTCCTTTCTTGAAAAAAAAAAAGTCATTCTTACAAGAAATGTTTTTAATCATAAAAACATTACCAGGATTCCTATTATAATTCTCACCACTAAAATAACCTTAAGAAAAATTTTCCGTTCAAGTATTGACATATGAGGTGTGTGGCATGAACACTGTACTTGGTTTATAAACTGTAATTTGGCAGTTTTTGATTTTGGAATCACAAGCCTTTCCTTAAGCTAGTATGACAATATTTCTCAAATTATTATAGCCATCTTTCTAAAATAACAGTATCCCTATGAAATGTCTATTTCAGAGCCTAGCGACCTGACTCTCAAAATCTACAGAGCGGAGTCCTATGCCGGCCTGCAGGAGTTTAAAGCAGCCTTAGAGGATCTAAATGCGGTCCTCTTCCAGCTTCCCAACTGGCCTGAGGTAAAATGGATGTTCACTTGTGTATGAATGGTACCCTTGCAGCTGTGAGGAACTTCAGTTACAGCTTCAGGTCTTAGGAGAGTAGATGGTTGCCTTTGATGAAATAGGGAGTTTGGAGCTAAGTCAGTGACATTATGTTTACCACACAAGCGTCAAGGGATGAGTTCAAGTCTCAGAATGTCCGTGAAAGCCAGGTGTCCTGGTACAAGGTTTGTAGTCCCAGGGAGGCAGAGCCAGGTAGAGCCCTGCGGCTCATGAGCTGGGGTCTGAAGAATGGGGCCAGAGGTTGACCTCTGGTCTCTATGCACACCTACCTACACATGAGCACACATACACACGAAAGAGAATCCTTTTGGGAAAGAAATAATGTAGCTTCCTAGAAGTTTACGTAAGTTGAGTATTTTTTTTTCTCTTTCTTTTTTTCTACAGCATAATATTTTTGTTGATTACTTGAGAATTTCACCTAATGCATCGCATTCACACTCACTTCCCAGTCCTCTCAGGTCCACCCCCAACCCCACGCCTGAGATCTCCCCTAAGTGGAGGGAAAATTAAGCAAATTTTATTGCCAGAAAAAAAAATTGATTATAGGGGAAAAAAATCCCAAACCTTTGTTTCCTTAGTAAAGAACAAACAGTTCATGACACAGAAAAATACCATATAAATTTCTATATAAAAATTTCAACTTGATTTATTATAAAGACAGATTCAAAGTGGATTTACCAAATGAATTTAGTAATGAGGAGAACATAGTCCTTGAAGCTGGGAGATGCTGAGAGGTGGTGGCATCGTTCCAGTGAGGTGACTGCACAGTAGGTTTGTACAGAAGTTGGCCTTGCCTAGGTGGTTTATACACACACATGTACTTACACACACACACACACACACACAGAGACGCTGGCCTTGAACTCGTAGAGATCTACCTGCCTCTGTCTCATATGTGTTGGGATTAAAGGCATACACCATCACCACCCATACCCAGCTTGAATTCTTGATGAAACAAGGTATTTCATTCATAGACATTTCAATGCGTATGTGTGTGTGTATGTCTATGTATGTGTGTGTGTACACACACACACACACACACACACACACATATATATATATATATATATATATATGGAGAGAGAGTATGTAAGCGAGATACAGTAAATTAGGACTGAGGATAATAATTATAACCACAGATATTTGTAGCACAGGATCTAGTCAATTGATTACTTTGACCACCTCACATTCTATAGATGATAAAAACATCGTATTTTAGCCTGAATATATACCTACCGTAGTTGGAGTTGTTGGATTATTTACATATACAGGTTATTCATTAGACACATTTGAAAATCACTACCCAATTTTGATTTGCTAAGAACTACAAAATAATGACCTAAATTTTACCTGGGTTATTTGTCACTAATAGTTACAAGGTAATTTTAAATTTTACTGCAGTTATTTATCATTGCTAATGATCTGTTAAATGTATTAAAAGAAGTCATTCATAGTTTAAATATTAATATCACTCATCCTGATTTTAAGATGAGGTTATTTATATGATTTTTAATACATGTTTTCAATACATCTTAAAGTCAGTAGACCTACATGTTATTTTATGTTTCCCTCAAATAACTGTCATTATATGAGTAACCTCTAAATTGGCAATTTGGGGAGATTAGCAGGTAAGATTATTGCTGCTATTCCAGAGAACGTGAGTTTAATTTCTGGCACCCATAGAGGGCAGCTCATAGGTCACCTGTTAACTTGAGTTCTTGGGGATCCAGACACCCTCTTCTGGCCTTCTCAGGAATGCTCATACTCCCCCACCCCCCGGAATAAATAAATGTTTAAATCTGTAATTTCTCAAGTGAAGATCATTTTGTGGGCCTCAGTTTCCCCATTTGGAGTACTTCTTTGGACTTTGGAGTAGCAGATAGGTTTTCCACATGTGTGATCCTTCTCAGAATCGCCCAGTTGCAGAATCAGCACGACTGAGAACCCTTTCTTTCCCTGATGGTTTGGGTAAACAGTTCTGTGCACGAAGTTCTGTGTGTGCTTTGTTGAAGGTCTACTTCAGGAAGGGGAAAGTCCTCCAGGATGCCGGGTTCCTAGGCGACGCCTTACAGCTCTTCCTTCAGTGCTTAGCCCTTGATGAAGACTTTGCGCCTGCAAAGCTACAAGTAGAAAAGGTACTACTTTACCCACGCCGTTACCCAAGGCAGAGGCACACTGGAGTCTAAAAAAGTAAGACAAGGA